GAAAAAGAAAAATATTGAAAACAGCAAGAAAAATAACACCTTACCTATAGAGTAAAAACTCATTCAAATGATTGTGTCAGAGTATAAAAAAAAAAGTATAGTACACTCAATAATATCACCCCTCCCAAAGATTTTCCAATCTGAATGCTGGAAGCTATGAATATGTTCCATAACATGGAAAGAGAAACTTTACAAATGTGATTCAATTATGGATTTTGAGATAGAGATTCTGATGGATTATCAGAGGCCCCAAGGTAAACATGACTATCCTTATAAGAAGACAAGTGAAAAACTTAACCAACCATTGCTGGGTTTCAATATGGAACAAGTGATCAGGAGACAAGAAACACAGTTGGTCTCTAGAATCTAGAAAAGGCAAAGAATCTCCAGAAGGAATGTGGGCCTGACAAAACTTTGATTTTACTCCAGTGAAACTACTTTTAGACTTATATCACCCAGAACTATCTATACATATAAAAAGCCTAAGCGACCATCACAACTGAACAGACAACTGATCAGGCTGTGTGGGGCGACCAGGCCAGCAAGGGGGAGGGGGGGGGGGCGGGCATTTAGGGGTGATCAGGCAGGCAGACAAGTGAGCAGTTAGCAGTCAGTGGTCCTGGATTGTGAGAGGGATGTCTTGACTGCTGGTTTAGGCCCAATCCCCAGGATCAAGCCTAAACCAGCAGTCGGATATCCCCCAAGGGTGCAGGCTGGGTTGAAGGGACCCCCCCCTCCCTGGGGGGGGCACAAATTTTGTGCACTGGGCCTCTAGTAAGGTAATAAATCTGTGTTGTTTTTACCATTGAATCTGAAGTAATTTGTTATATCAGCAATAAGCAATCAATACAAGGGTCAATCTATTATGCATTTTTAAACTTAACATAATTACTATAGGACCCAGCAGTCACACTTCTGGGCATTTATTCCAGTGAAATGTAAACTTATAACCACATAAAATCCTGTACATAATTGTTCACAGCACCTTTATTTTAACAGCTCCAAACTGGAAACTTGCATATGGATTTGAATGGCAGTGTGACAAGCTTGGAGAGAGACATCTATTAAACCAGTAAAATCAGCAAATTCTCTGAATATGAGTCGAAAGGTTTACAACAAATTGAGATGTATTTGTTTAGCAAAATCTGTAGAAATTGGTAAGAGTGGGAGGCAGTTGCATACAAGTTATACCCCTTACCCATCTACCCCCAAATGTTAACTCCCATCTTCCACAGATCCCAGAGCTTAAAAAAAAGTATTCTAGGTGTTTTTGGTGGCTGGTGAAAACTTGCAGATACCATATACACTGACTTCAGATCACTGAGTTGCTACAGAGCTTTTCTGATACTCATAGAACCTGATTGAAATTTTCTGCTATTTTCTAGGTTAGTGGTGCAAAAGAGCTATTCCATGTGTATTTGGCAGGGCTTCTACTTAGGGGATAATCAAAACAAAAGACTCAAAGACTGGCAACATCCTACTGCTGCAAGAGCCTATTCTTTTAATTTGGAACACACTGTTATCAACAACAACAGCACTATAAGCTGGCAATCAGGGGAAATTAACCATTTGGTATGAGCCAGAATTTTATTGAAGAGTTCATAGAAAGAGACAAAAAGAGCCATGCTAAAACCACAATAATCCTCAGTGGTCCAATATGCTGGACACATACATAAAAGATGCACTGTCTGAAGAGTGACTAGGGAGAAAAATCTTGAGCCTTGAGTCCCTGCCTGAATACAAAGCAAACTCCTAAACTCCCCGAATTGTGAAAGCAGCTTTAAGTCGAAAACAGGCTAATTGGTAAACAGTAAAACCCTCAGCGGTTTGAGGTGCTTAAGTAAAACTTCTGACCAACCCGGTCAATCATTAAGTAGTACTGACACAAAGGGCATCCTCTAGGAATCTAGCCTTAAATATAAAAATAGAAAAAGTACCTATGCAGGAACATCGGAGATGAAAGGCAGGGAAATAGAAATCACAAAGTCAGTCCAGAAAAGCCACTAAACAAATAAATGAGCAAACAAGCAACAACAATAAAAAGCACCCTCGTGCCTGAGAGGGTAGAAACCCGAGTTGCTATATTACTTAAAATGTACAGTTTACAACAACAGCAAAACCTATAAAACCTGAAAAGAAACAGAAAAAAAAAATAGAAATAGACTCTTTTTCTATTCAAAGGAAGGGAGGGGACTAGAGACTGTCTTAGAGCGAACCCAGATGATGGACATAACACAGAAAATCTTAAAAGCAGCTATTCTAAATATATTGAGAAAACTATACGAAACCATTTTGAAGGACTTAAAAGGAAGTATGGTAACCTCACACAACAGAGAACAATATTGATAATACAGAAACTACTTTGTAAAATACATCCAAAAATCAAAAAGGAATTCTGGAATTGAGAAGTATAATAGCTGATTTAAAAAATAATCACTAGAGTAGCTCAACAGTAGATCTGAGAGGGCAAGAGAAAGAATCAGTGAACTTTAAAATAGATCAATAAGATTACTAGTATGTTATCCCAAGAACAGAGAGAAAAACAAATGAACTATAAATTAACATAGCCTCAGAGAAATATAGGTCAGCATTAAGTGCACAAATATGTATGATGAGAATATCAGAAAGAGATGAGATAAAGGAAAAAATGTTCAAGAACTATAAAATAAGAAATACTTCCTTATTTGACGAAAATTATAAATATAAAACATTCAATGAACTTTAAGAGAAGCAAAAAGATTGTTTCTTTTTGAAGACACATTTTACTCAAAGTGTTCATAAAAAAAGACAAAGGGAGAATCTTGAAAACAGCAAGAGAAAAATGACTCATCACAAAAAGGAAACCCAACAAGATAAACATCTGACTCCTAATCAGAAATAAGTCAGAAGGCATATTCAAAGTGCTGCAAGGGAAAAAAAAACACACCTCAATCAAGAAATCCTATATGTAGAAAAAGTATCTTTTAAAAAATGAAAGCAAAATACATACTTAGATCAATATAAGCTGAAATAACTGTGTTAGTGTACCTACCTTATAAGAAACACTAAAGCAGTGGTTCTCAACCTTCCTAATGCCGTGATCCTTTAATACAGTTCCTCATGTTGTGGTGACCCCCAACCATACAATTATTTTCACTGCTACTTCCTAACTGTAATTTTGCTACTGTTAATGAATCATAATGTAAATATCTGTGTTTTCTGATGGTCCTAGGCTCTATCGTCTCGACCCACAGGTTGAGAACCGCTAGCAGGGTCGCTTAAGACCATAGGAAGTAGCAATGAAAATAATTCTATGGTTGGGGGTCGCGGCATTAGAAAGGTTGAGAACCACTGTCCTAAGGTAACAGTTGCCCAGAGTCTTCTTGGAGCACAATGAGGACTTATGTAAATTAGACCTGAGACCCTGGTAGGGTGGCTCAGTTGGTTAGAGCATTGTCCAGGTACACCAAGGTTTTGAGTTTGATCCCCAGTCAGGGCACCTACAAGAATCAATCAATAAATGCATAAATAAATGGAACAACAATTCTCTCTTTCTCTCTCAAATCAATCAATAAATTTAAATTAGACTGGAGAGATTCAGGACACTATCTAGAAAAAAGCATTTTGTACTTAGCATACATGGAGGCAGTACACAATTTCTGTTAAATGAGTGATGAGGATGGGAAATAGCACTTCAGGTCCAGAGAAAGAGAAGGGGGAAAGGCCTGGAGTACAAATGCTAGGAGAGTTCCTGAGAGACAGGTGAAGCTCTAAAGCCAAGGCAGGGTGTTCTGGACATAGGAGTCCGACCTGACCCCAGAAGGCAGATAAAAAGAGTGCCAATAACAGTTTTTAAATAGGGAAGGGGCATAATCATATTTGCATTTTAAAAAAATATATTTTATCGATTTTTTACAGAGAGAGAAAGGGAGAGAGATAGAGAGCTAGAAACGTCGATGAGAGAGAAACATCGGCCAGCTGCCCCTTGCACCCCCCCCACCGGGGATGTGCCCGCAACCAATGTACGTTCCCTTGACCAGAATCGAACCTGAGACCTTTCAGTCTGCAAACCGACGCTCCACCACTGAGCCAAACCGGCTTCGGCCATATTTGCATTTTAGTATTAGTACTACTCTGCCAGTGAAAGGAAAAAGTGATTCATGACAGCCAGGCTACAGGCAGTGAGTCCAGTTAAAAAGGTGTTCTAATAACTCATTTAACTGTGAGCCAGAATTGCAGAAATGGAGTGAGAATACCCCATCAAGCCAGTTACTAAACCAATTTAAAAACTAACCGAAGTGAATCATTCATATTTGTATCTACTAAAAGCAGTTCATTTAACAATAACACATCAAATATAGGTATTTCTCAACTACCTTACTGTTATTGAAACCTACTTAGGGAACTGAGGCTAGCAGCCAGCCAAGTCACTTCCTGTACACAGATTTCCAAGTAGCACCTTTTCCCATACAGAACTCAAAAGAAAAAGGCTTGTTACTCAAACTCGGAAGTTCACAACAGTAATACAGAGCTGCGCAGTACAGAGTCTTGAGATGTGTCTATCCTGGTCTATTTCACCCCAAATAACGTTTTAACAAAGTCCTTCAAAGGGTCAGGAGGCCCAATCCTGAGCACCCGGACAAATGCCCAGGGTTCTTTCCTCTTTGTTTCAGATCGAGAGCCAAAAGTCTACCGCTGTTTGTCGCTCAGCGGGGCATTTTCACCCAGCAGTTCCCCACTTTGCATTGTGCCGCTGTATAAACAGTCAAACGCAGGGCATTCAGGAAAGAGTACTCCCAGGCTGAGGAGCCTCTGAAGAGGAGAGGCGGGTGTCTTCAGGTTTCAAACATAAGATTCCCAGACCTTGCCAATTCTCTCACAACCCCACCTCCACCCCGCCTCTTGCTGTGGGCGCCCTTCTGAAGTTACAGGGCTCCCTTCTATAGTTACCAGAATGCTTTCTACCCTTAAAGAAACGAAGCAAGTTTTTTTGTGTGTATGTGTGTGCGTTTTTAACTCACCCTTACGGCCGCCGCCATATCTGTGACCCTGTCACACCCAAGTTTTCTGACGGAGAGCAAAGTGGGACAAAAGGCTTCCACTCAGCAACTCCTCACTACAGCCCTGCCTGGTTACGCCCCTTGTCTGCCAGCTCCCGCCCTTTCCCCGCCCCCCCTCCTCCTCCCTCCCCCGCTAGAGCTTCTTGGGGAAGCTGCTTCACAATTGGTCCACTGTCTTCAGGAGAAGCCATTTATCCCTATGGGAGACTGGAATACTAATCAATCCATAATCGAGTTAAAAGTTACTTTATTGGTGCAGAACTTTTCACTGTTTTCCTTGTAACAGATATATGCGACTTATCTACATAAGAATTTAAAACTAAAACCTGGCTGCCTTTATAACTATATCGTCACAAAGAAAATGTTACCTCTGCAATAGATTTTCAAGTTCACACATTCTAAAACTATGTCACTAAGCGCCTACTGTATGCCAGGCACTCGTTCAAGGTACAGAACAAGTCAGGGGTACCACAAAATTTATTTAGAACTTAGATCAAGAAAAAGGTTTTCTATGGGGGAATATTTTATCACTGACATTTCTTAGAATTACTAGTGTGTGGTGAGAATAAAAAGCTGAATAATTTTATTTTGTTTTAAATTAATTTTAAATTAGCTAAAGATAATCTCCGAGTGTAATTCCTGTCCATGAGACACCATAGCCCGTCATTGTTCCATGTACTGCATATGAAGCAATGAACAAAACAAACATAATCTCTGGTCTGATAGAGCCTAATTATAAAATTTTTTAATCAAGAAAACAAAAAAAGAAAGGAACACGATCATTGTGAATAGCGGTAAATACTAGAGAGGATGAATGGGATGAAGTGGGAATTATTTTACTTTGGGAGAATGGAGAATACTTCCGCAAGGAACAGACAGTTGAGCTGAGAATTGAGTAACTGGGCAGAAACCCTGAGGTGGGAGCACCTAGAGGGAAGAAGAGAGGGGTAGAAGAGTCAAAAAGGAGCCAGATTACATGTAAAGAATTTTCATTTTCTTTTTATAAAAATAATTCAAAATATTATTTAAATGTTGTTTAATTTATAGCTATAGATATACCAGTTACTACTACTTGCTTTGGGCACAGAAGACAGATTTGTGTAATGAAAAGTATTAGAATCAAAATAAGATTTTATAAGAGATTTTACAAGAGAAGTCTTATAAAATAGAGTTGAACTAAGTCAGAGGTGCTGAAAGATAGTATACAAAAGAATCACCTGAACAATTTCATATTTGTAGATTACTGCATATTAATTTACATCATTTGTTCTGATATAACGGAGTTTTGCAAAAAGAGTTCCTCAGTTGTTTCTAATATGGGAATTTCTTTGATATACACTTTGAGAAACTAATCAAGTCCAGTTAGATAGATTAGATGATTTATAATGCTATGTCACTTCGGGCACTGGCATTCTAGAATTCTATCAGGGTTTTTAACTAATAGAATTTGACTACTCTGTGCAACATCACTATTTTTCTGGACACATGATATCCTCATATTTAGTAAACTTTACTCCCACTCCACCTCAGCCATCCATAATAATAGCTATCCTCTTAATTTTATTATTACTTTCACCTCTGAAATTTTAAACTCAAACATTCTCTTTCCTGACCACAACTATTATCCTTAAAGCTCTTTGACACACACTTTTTTTTTGTTTCCTCAAGATCTCTAGACCTTTATGTCTGTATTATAGCTACATAACAATTTACCCAAAATTTATAAGTATAAAAACAATAAAAACGTTGTCACAGTTGCTGTGTATCAGAAATTTAGAAATAGCTTACCTGTGTGATTCTGCTCCCAGGCCATTCATGAGGCCTTTATTATTTTGAGATACTTTCTTTCTATACATTTATATTGAGTATTTTAATCATAAATGGATTATTACAAGTGTTGGTGAAGATGCAGAGAAAAAGGAACCCTCGTGCATTGCTAGTGGAAATGCAAACTGGTGCAGCCACTATGGAAAAAAAGTATGGAGTTTCCTCAAAAAATTAAAAATGGAACTCCCATTTGACCCAATATTAGTAATTCCACTTCTAGAAATATATCCCAAAAAATCAGAAACACTAACCAGAAAGAATACATGTACCCCTATGTTCATAGCAGTACAATTTATAATTGCTAAAATTTTGAAACAGCCTAAGTGCCCATCAGCAGATGAATGGATTAAAAGACTGTGGTACATCTACACAATGGAATATTATTCTGCTGTGAAAAGAAAAAAACTTTTACCATTTGCAACAGCATGGATGGAACTAGATAGCATAATGCTAAGCGAAATAAGCCAGTCAGAGAAAGACAAATATCACATGATCTCACTCATTTGAGGAATATAATGAACAACTTAAACTAATGAACAAAAATTGATTCAGAGACATAGAAGCACAGCAAACAATTATTTTTGCACACAGCTTTGCAATCAAGCCACCCTCACTTTCCTACCTGATGACAGACAGTCCAGCTTCTCCCCAGAAACTGGATTTCAGAGAGATCAGGAGCTTGTCTCTCTTCGGGTTGAAGAAAGCAACTCCCACCACTAGCTGGATCTGCTGCCAGCCCTTATGCTGTGCACGCCTCCATACCTCAGTTTTTCAGTCCTTGTGCACTGAATGCTCTTTTCTCTTTCCGTCTATTGTATAACTTCCACTCAGCCAGCTTTCCAGTGGTCCTGGGTGATAGATATTTTGTCTTTTAATTGTAGTTTTGAAATTGTTGTGCAAGCAGCAGTTTAGATATTTACCTATGCCGCCATTTTGGATCTCTTTCTCTATCTTTTTTTTTTTTCCCACCAGGTTATAATTTTCTTTATTTTCCATAAATGAGTGAGATCATGTGGTATTTTTCTTACATTAGCTGGCTTATTTCATTTAACACAATGCTCTCCAAGTCTATACATGATGTTGCAAATGGTAAGAATTCCTTCTCTCTTTTTAAAAAAAATATAATTTATTGAATTTTCACAGAGAGAAAGGGAGAGGGATAGAGAGTTAGGAACATCGATGAGAGAGAATCATTGATCAGCTGTCTCTTGCACACCCCCTACTGAGGATGTGCCCGCAACCAAGGTACATGCCCTTGACCAGAATCGAACCTGGGATCTTTCAGTCCCCAGGCGACGTTCTGTCCACTGGGCCAAACCAGTTTCGGCTCCTTCTCTTTTTTATAGTGGCGTAGTACTCCATTGTGTTGATGTAACGTTGTTTTCTAATCCATTCATCTACTGATGGGCACTTAGACTGTTACCAAATCTTAGCTATGGTAAATTGTGCTGCTATGAACATAGAGGTACATATATCCTTTCTCGTTGGTGTTTCCAGTTTCTTGGGATATATTCTTAGAAGTGAAATTATTGGGTCAAATTCTATGTCCATTTTTAGTTTTTTAAGGAAACTCCATTTTGTTTTCCACAGTGGCTGCACCAGTCTGCATTCCCACAAGCAGTGCACAAGGGTTTATTACTTTATTAGGGAGCATATTCCCAAGGTAACTAAATCTCAGAAGGGAAAGTCAAAACACAAGGATGTGTTACTGAGCTGACCACTATTTGAAGCAAACAAAACTAATTGGTTATGTTGCTCAATCTCAAAATTAATCTCATCTTTGAGAGGATACATGTACCATCTTAGGACAGTATGGCTGTGGGAAGAAACAGAAATTATTTATTTATTCATTCCTGGCATCTATTCACTAAATATATGCCACAGAAGGTTGTTGTCCTCAAATCTGATATTGTGCATGTATAGGTATTGGGTGGGTCTATAGCATTGTCTGTCAGCAGGAAGAGCCCTGGAGTACAAGGCAAGGAGTATAGCATGAGCATAAGGCAAGGTGCCATCAGATTGCCTCTGTTCCAATCCAAAATTATTTACAGCTATTGTTTTGCCTCAGCATCAGGCAAAATAGAAAAATTGACAAAAAGAAAGAAGACAGAAGTGAAACTACTGGATCATAATGCATGCCTTTGTTCAACTTTAATATATACAACCAACAATTTTCCAAAGTGATAGTACCAGATTACATTTTCCAGTAGTGTTAAAGGCTCAACATCTTCATCAATAATTGGTCATTGTCTTTTCATTTTAGCCATTCTGTGTAGTGTTATCACATTCAAGTTTTAATTTACATTTTCTTGATGTAAAGGAAATTGTTCACCATTTCATACTTCATTTGGCCATATGGATATTATATTTGATTAAGTACTTGCTCACGTTTTTTTGTTAACCTTTTCTACTGTGTTGTCCATTTTTAAAAGATATATTTTTATTTATTTCAGAGAAGAAGGGAGAGGGGAAAAAAATACAAAAACCAATTACGAGAGAGACATATTGGTTGGCTGCCTCCTGTATGCCTCTCACTGGGGATTGAGCCTGCAACCTGGGCATGTGCCCTAACTTGGAATTGAACGATAGCCTCCTGGTTCATGGGTTGACACTAAACCACTAAGCCATACCATCTAAGTGTGTAGTCCATTTTTTACACTTAGTTGTAGCTTCTCTTTATAAGGACATATACAGTTTACTAGTTAAATGTGTTGTAACTCAATAACAAAAAATAAAAAATCTGATTAAAAAAATGGGCAGAGGACAGAAAGAGACATTTCTCCAAAGAAGACATGCAGATGGCCAGCAGGCATCAAAGATGCTCAACATCACTAATCTTCAGGAATATGAAAATAAAAACTACAATGAGATACTACCTTGCACCAGTCAGAATGGCCATTATCAAAAAGTCAACAAATACCAAGTGTTGATGAGTATATAGAGAAAAGGGAACCTTGAACACTGCTAATGGGAGTGTAAGTTGATGCAACCAGTATGGAAAGTAATATGTAGATTAATCAAAAAACAAAAGTAGAACTACCATGTGATCAAGCAATTTCAGTTCTGGATATTTATCCAAAGAAAACAAAAACATTAAAAAATATATGAACCCTTATATTCATTGCAGCATCCTACATAATAAAAGAGTAATA